AAATAATTTCTATCTTAACCCTTCGACAATAAAAAATGGCAAAGTACGCTGAGTAATAGGACAAATATTACGTTCACGTTGAAAGTATGAAATAATTTAAATTACGTCTCTTTGTTCAAGTTAGAGTATTTTTCTTTAGGATCATAATACTTTTTTAATAACTATTTTGCTTTCTTTCACATTTGGCTAGTGTCATGATAATTTTTTAGTAACTATTTAGCTTTGTTTCACATTTGGCTAGTGTCCCAATACTTTTTCTTTAGAATCTTAATAATTTTTGAATAACTATTTAGCTTCGTCTCACATTCGGTTAGTGTCCTGATAATTTTTTAGTAACTATTTAGCTTTGTTTCACATTTGGCTAGTGTCCCAATACCTTTTCTTTAGAATCTTAATAATTTTTTAATAACTATTTAACTTTGTTTCACATTTGAAAAGTGTCCTAATAATTTTCTAATAACTATTTAGCTTTGTTTCACATTTGGCTAGTGTCCCAATACTTTTTCTTTACAATCTTAATAATTTTTTAATAACTATTTAACTTTGTTTCACATTTGAAAAGTGTCCTAATAATTTTCTAATAACTATTTAGCTTTGTTTCACATTTGGCTAGTGTCCCAATACTTTTTTTTTAGAATCTAATACTTTTTAATAAATATTTAGCTTTGTTTCACATTTGGCTAGTGTCCCAATACTTTTTCTTTAGAATCTTAATAATTTTTTAGTAACTATTTAGCTTAGTTTCACATTTGGCTAGTGTCCCAATACTTTTTCTTTACAATCTTAATAATTTTTTAAAAACTATTTAACTTTGCTTCATATTCGGTAAGTGTCCTGGTAATCTTTTTTAAATTACATAGCTTTGCTTAACATTTGGTAAGAGTCCCAATACTTTTTTTTTAGAATCTAATACATTTTTAATAACTATTTAGCTTCGCTTCGCATTTCGTAAGTGCCCCAATACTTTTTCTTTAAAATCTTAATAATTTTTTAAAAACTATTTAACTTTGCTTCGCATTGGGTAAGTGTCCTAATACTAACGAATCTGCTACATAAAAATTGTCCATACTTCTGTGTACATTAAAACGAACGGTAGTTTTTTATTTTTTGTTTTCGAGAAAAATAAAAATTGCACTGCGGTGTTCTATTTATTTCTATCGATCGTAAAATTAACACCGTGTATAATGTAATAAAATATAATGTCAAGTGCATGGTCGAGTGGTTTATGGAAATCGAGAGAGGAAACGGTAAAATTTATTCCCCATTCGACCAAGAGAGAACGCCATCGTATGAGGAAAACGATCGCGTATAATTTATATCTCTGCAGAGGAGGTACACCTCGGTCCGCGATATGCATTATTTTCCCATTTATCGGCTATTCGCATGACCGGTTCTGTTCTCCGATTATTTCCTATATACGCTTTTAAGAGGAAAAAAAAAAAAAAAGAAGGATTAACCAATTCTTCCAAGCCCGGATATGATTAAGCAGAAGAGAGTTATATCGATGGAGGTGATGCGGGTGTCAGATGTTATCGAGAAGGCGTACGTTGAATGGCAATTGGCGTATGTAGATCAATGACGAAGAGATTCGTTAAAGAGTAATTAATTCCCGATACTTAATTGGACGCGGTGAGAGTAACCAAGCGAAGGGGAAAGGGAGATTACGGAACTTTATCTGCAGTGACTTGTTGTTGAGATTTCGAAATCTTGAATACTTAAATTTTCAAATTTTCTAATTTTCTAATTTTCAAATATCCAAATTTCCAAAATTTCAAATTTTCCAATATTCCAAACTTTGAAATTTTCTATTATTT